ACAAGTGCATCGCTACTACTAACAAGTGCCTTACTAGTAGTAACAAGGACGCTACGAACGGAGCTTTTTCGCTCCTTCGTTCCCCCACGACCTGCGTCATATGGGAGTCACAATCAGTCATGTGAGTTCATGGGAGTCTGAGGGGTTTTGCTTGTCCGGTCCTGAAAGAATCCCATCCTGAAAACCAACCAACAGTCATTGTTGTAACATGGTGGACCTGAACTGATGCTTCATGTAGTTTGGGGAAGCTGCGGCAAGCTTGAGCTAAACCACCCTCACCGATGAAACCCAATCGGGCGAGAGTACGGAAGTGACATCCACCCACGAATTACTCGTATCTCCTGCAACATTGTGTTTGGTCGGAGTAGGTACTGTACTTACATTTCATTCATCCAGACGCGTTTGCAAGATGGAATGTGCATCAATTTCTCCAGTCTTCCTTCGGATGACTTGTTCGGCCTGCAGTTCTGCCAGGCTGCGATGTGCTCCGACCTCTCAACGAGCCTTGTGGCCTGGAGCCAAGGACAAAGAGGCCCCTCATCCGCTCAAGTCGCTTCGGCGATCGATCCATGTGAGCCAGAATGCATTCGATCACTTGGTGTTTTCTTGTGACCTGGGTATATAGTTTGGGAGATGCTTTTGGATGGTTTTCCGGTATGCTTTAGTTACACATTTCAAGATCAGAAGGTCAGCGTCAGTTGCGTCACTTTGAGCTTCATTCATTCGAATCTCTTGCAGCGGCTCGAGGAGTCATGTCCCAGATGTCCCAGGTGTTTCATCCAGTGCCAGTATCATACTTTCGAGCGAAAATCGCGTCGAGGACTTCTAAGGGCAACTCCTCGGAAGATGAGTCCAACTCGGAAGAGGCCTCCTTTTGCCATTCGACTTCTTCGACCTTCGAGCATCCTCGCCCCACGAGTTCAGGGAACCTCCCGTCGAGTTCACTGCTTTACGTTTACTCAGCAGTGTCCGGAGATGTAGTGGGCAGCATCAACATAGATGAGGTTGAGCACAATTCAGTGAAATCCCTGAAGGCTCATTTTGCCACGCAGATTCGAGTCACACGATTCCGGCAAAGATGGTTCAGTGAAGAGGGTGAACTGCAGGATGAGACTCAGCTTTGCCCTACTCAGCGAGTGCAGCTGCTGATTCTACCTTTGCGTCCACCAGAGGATGGCCTCGACCAGAAGCTCATTAACGCATCTCACGAGAATCGCATCCAGGACGTGGAGGACATCCTGAAGTGGCCCTTGGATCCAGATGTGACAGATCAATATGGCTGTACCGGATTGCACAAAGTTCCTGGACAAAACATGAATTAAATGTCCTTTGCTGGAGGTCCTTGGAAGAAACACACATATACGAATCCAGCATAACACAATGCTTTTATACATGTTTATACGTATAATATATACAGTATATATATATATACATTACAGACCACCTGAGATGGGGTTGTGGGTGATGCGGAGCTTATCCATCGCCAGCTGCAGGGGTGTTGAACAACACCAGCTCGCGGGATTAAGATATCATCCAGTCCAGTCATTTATTTCTACTCGACTAGCTCTAATATTATGTTTATCTTACTTACCCGGAATCATAATTAACCATATTTGGTGTGCTAGGATGTGGGAATCATGATTGGGTCGCAGCGTAAGCTCATCTGAGAGCGCACACTCTCAGAGGGAAGTTGTGCATCAGTGCCGCTCAACCTGCAGCTTGCACTCAAAAGATAAAACCATCCCTCCGATGCATGAATAGCTTCTTGTTACTACTAGTAAGGCACTTGTTGCTAGAAGCGATGCACTCGTTACTAGTAGCTTCTTATATTGCTATCCCAATTCAGCTCAGCGTTTGTTTTCGTCCAAACCGAGGCTGCAGAGGCTGGCCGTGTGGACTGTCTCAAGTTATTGCTCGAAGCTGGTGCGCGTCCTGAGAAGGAGGATTTCAATGGCATCACCCCTTTGCATTTGGCCGCTCGAGGCACGAGGCGTTTATTCTTTTAAAGTAGTATATATATATATATATCATATATACTCTGATCCATCCAGGCGCTTCACGAGATGAGCGTTGGAGCCGTTTTGGGGGAACTCCAAACAACATGTTGCCAAAATCCTTCCGGATGTTCTTCAGGTGGTTGACAAATCCAATGTTGCACCTTTACACGCGTCTTTGGTATGTTGATCATCGGCCACCTTTCCTCAGGAGGTCACCTTTACATGGTCAGACCCCTCTTGGTGCGTCCCAAAGTGCTTCGCAGCGTGAAAACAGCCTTGCACTGTGCGGCGGAGAAGGGACACTTGGAAGTTGTAAAGTTGTTCCTTGCCGCGGGAGCCAACATCCATGAGGTGGACCTTGCGTCGAGGCAGTACAGAACTGCTTTGCATTGGGCAGCTCAGAAAGGGCACTTGAAAGTTGCGAGACACTTAGTTGAGAGTGGAGCTGACGTGCACAAGACCATGATGAATGGTGCATCAGCTTTGCACTTAGCTGCACAGAGAGGTTCCTTGGAAATCGTGCGGCTTTTGCTCAAGGCTGGGGCTGACATAAATCACCCAATGTACCCAAGTGCTGCAACAGCTTTGCACATGGCAGCAGACAAAGGTCATCTTGAAGTTGTGCGACTCTTGCTGGAGGCTGGAGCTCAAAAGAAACCAGTGACCAGGCAAGGACATTCAGTGCTGGATTGTGCTGCACGCAGTGGCCGCTTGGAAGTGGTGCGCTTGCTGCTGGAGGGGAACTTTAATCAGAGATCTCATCACGTGCGTTTAGACTCGGCGCTGCACTTGGCAGCCATGTTTGGTCACCCGGAAGTTGTTGAGCTCTTGCTCCAAGCTGGTGCCAACAAGGACCAGGTCAAGGATGTTCAATTGAGCAGCCCCGAAGTGATAAGCTTGTTGGAAAGCTGGGGCGCATGAGCAACTGACTCCAACTGCGCGAGAGATCATCAGACTTGATGAGAGTTAATGATAGTCAATTTAGGTCAATGAGAGTGATGGTGCTGCTTTTCATGTAGCTTACGCAGGTCCTTTCAGTGACGAAAGAGGTCACAAGAGGATAGCCTTCACTTCCTGGAACAGTCCCCCGTGTTGTGGAGGATCATTGGAGAAGAAACCTCCGCTCCATGGAATTACATAATCATTAATCATGGAAGTGGACACCGGTTTGTAGAGGATTTCATCCTTCATCCATGCCATCCACATGATGATTCCAGGGAGTGTACAATCCAACAAGGCCTTTTCCTGAGATGGTGCAACAGTGGCGCCCTGCGCCGACTGCGATACACGAAAGCCTGTCATGAGGATATCGCAGAAGTCTTTGTTCAGGTAGTGCAGCGTTTCGGTCTCACAAAAAAGAATCAACGCCTGGATTGAGGGGTTCGGGGTCGTGTCTCCGGGATCCGGATGTCCTTTTCACATGCTCATATGCAACTGAGATGCCAACGAATGAATATTCACAATATTCAAGTTTATTAAATCTTTACTAAAGTTGTCTACGGCATGCTCCATTTGTTTTTCCAACATCAGTATTCGCTGGTGAACGGAGATAGGGCCCCCACAAACGAGATGCTTTTTGATGACACTATATAAAGTATATAGAGTCTGAACGAGATAATGTGATATCACTGATATCACCTCCTAATTTCTTAAGTAGTCTAAATGAGATAGGGCACCCACAAAATAGATAGTGCATTTGAATTCAACAATGAATAAAAGCCGCTGCTCAGAGCTTAAAATATATAGTTGAGATATGTTGAGTATTCATAGTACAATACAGTGAGGTTCCAGTTTCCAGGTTACAGGAGGATGATTAAACCTCTCACCGGATACATTGACATGTGCAACCCAGACGCTTCTTCCATCTTCCATCTCATCTCTTGACCGACCTGATCCGTTGGCGTTCGGCCGCCAGGTGGAAGCTCTTCAACTTTACCTTTGGCAACATGGCTTGGCATTGGACCCGGAACTGCCAGTGCGAGAGGATGATGCGAGATTGGCATCTCGAGACAGATATGACTTTCTTGGGATGGAGACGTGGTGAGTGGTCAGGCTGCAACCCGGTTCAACCAGAAGAGTCCAGAAAGACTCTTAGTTTTGGAGGCCTCCTTGGGGTGCAACCTGTGATGGTCGCAAAATGTGTTTTTGAGGCTGGACTAAGGCTTAAGGCAAGAAAGATACCTGGTGCCTGGTTTGATCGGTTTTGGTGAAGCACTTGGATGCCAAAAGTGCTCATGGCGACGGATTCTGATTGCAATTTGTTTTTTGACGGGATCAACGGATTAAGCAGTATGAAATACGTTATCACCAGTTTTCAGGACAACAACCCCACGCGACGCGGATGCGACGCGGGTGTTAGTCCACACAATTCCGCACATGTCCGCACTTAGCTTTCTGAGGTGAGTGCTTGTTAAAAGACATCGTCCACTTCACTTCACAGTATCCCCAAGCTTCAACTCCCAAACTTCTAGACTTTGTTTTCACGCCTGAGAGATTCGTTTGATGAGACGTCGATCAACTTCTGACAGTATATCAACCTTCGAGTCTAAGGGTCTTTTTCTGGAGTCTCTCCAACACTTCAAACCTCCCTCACTGCATCTCAAAAAAAGAGTGGACTTGAACTCTCAGTCTGCTGTGGACCCCCCTTTCCATTCACACCTTTATATTGCCCTCTTGATCTAGCCAAGAGCTAGACGCGAGCCACGCGAGAGCGTATCGGCCGAGGTTTGGGTGTTGGGACATCCCAAGCTCCAGGAGTCCGAGACCGATCGAGGTCGCGCCCAGTCGCTCGCGGACGTCGCGCGCGGTCCCGCTCTCGAGCGGCCCAGGCGCTTGCAGCGACCGAGGGGTGTCACGGAGCATTTTTCGGGTTTGATGGTTAGAAGTTTTGGTGAAAGTAAGGGGTGGACAATGGTATTCCAGTTTCTTTGGGAGGACAAGATTTGGCTTCCTCTCATGAGTTGGGTCAAAGACCAAATCCAGACCACAAACACAAAGGTATAGACCATTCTGTACCCATTACAGCTGCCAGAGTCATGAACTTCAAAGCTGGTGCAGTATGGGCTGTATGGGTGCTCGTGGGTGACCGATCCAGGATACAGCCATAGTGCGTGTCCACCAAGTGCGAGTCCTTGAAACACTCTCATAGGCACACCAGCACATGAGTGGCAACTGCTTTGGCATTAAGAAAGCCTTCAAAGGAAGAGCAACAACAATTGCAGTTCCAAAATGTAGTTGAACTAGGCTCAAGGGCTTGTGAGGGGGTTCCTGTAATCGTTTTTCTCAGAAGCTACAGAGTTGGTAGAGCAAATGGGCTATGTACGTTCCATGGTGTATAACATCACATTTGAGTGAGAACAGCAGGGAAATCAGTAATGTGATATAGTTTATTGCTCCTACTAACCCTCGAACTCGGCATCACGCCAAATCTGGCCAGGGAGCCCCAATGATGCTGATGCCAATAGCTTTTGGGGGCCAGGGCCTCATAAGGCAAGTGCCTCCAGGTCCGAGCGGGGGGTCGCCCTTTCTTTTTTCACTCCCGTTCGATTCACTCAGGCCTCAAGCATTCTCGAACACTTCAGTGATAAGGGACATATTGTAAGCCCAGGTGCCCCAAGGTGGAAACAGTGCCCATACAGAAGTGTGTGTTTTCTTCATTCTGGCAGTTAGGCAGTGTATTGGGGCTGTACCTCCAGCGATCCAGGATGTTTGTTGCTCAGCCGAGACGTGGGAAACATGACCTACGCAAAGAGCATCCGGAACGCAACGTTCAAGGTGGGCCATCACAGAGCTAACCACCCTTGTCAATGGCTCAGAGTGGCGAGAGTGGTCGACTGTTCAAGAGTTGCCCGCATGACTTCGAAAGTCTTTCTCACCTGATTGAATGGAATCCAGAACATTGCAAAACACAATAATTAGGACATATTAGGACAGTTTAATTAGGACGGTCTCGGAGAGTTATTGTGTGATTTGGTGGAAATGTAAAATCTATAGTTGAGAAGGGTTCCACCTATTCCCAAGACCATTCAATCAACTTATCCTGTTTGTTGCGTCTGGCAGCGTGCCAATTTGAAGCCAAGGCGCAAGACATGGCGGGGCAGCGGGGAACTGGTTCAATCCGCTTGCTGTTGTATGCCTACAGGACCTTCCTTCCAGATTTGGAGACGACCAGCTACAGGCCATAAGAGACACTGGCCTCCTTTGGCCGAGCAGTATCACACGGTGCAGCTCCTTATCCCATTGGCATCTCCATTGAAGTGTTCAGATTCCATGTGCTGGGTTTAGCAGTCCATGTCTAAGGTTTGTCATGCCCATTCTGACCGGTGGTCTGAATAAACAAGATGGAACCCACGAACCCGAATGCAAACACGTTCGAAAAACTAATATGTCCAAATGACACTCTTGTAGGACACTCTTGCGGGACACTCTGTAGGACACTCTTGTAGCACACTCTTGTGGGTCACTCTTGTAGGAAACTCTTGTGGGACACTCTTGTAGGACACTCTTGTGGGACACTCTTATAGGACACTCTTGTGGGACACTCTTGTGGGACACTCTTGTAGCACACTCTTGTGGGACACTCTTGTAGGAAACTCTTGTGGGACACTCTTGTGAGACACTCTTGTAGAACACTCTTGTGGGACACTTGCAGGACACTCTTGTGGGACACTCTTATACGACACTCTTGTAGGACACTCTTGTGGGACAGTCTTGTAGGACACTCTTGTAGGACACTCTTGTCGGAAACTCTTGTGGGACACTCTTGTGGGACACTCTTGTGGGACACTCTTATAGGACACTCTTGTGGGACACTCTTGTGGGACACTCTTGTAGCACTCTTGTAGGACACTCTTGTGGGACACTCTTCTGGGACACTCTTGTAGGACACTCTTGTGGGTCACTCTTGTAGGAAACTCTTGTGGGACACTCTTGTAGGACACTCTTATACGACACTCTTGTAGGACACTCTTGTGGGACAGTCTTGT